GATCCAAACCCGGGCAGGGCCGGTCATGGACACGGCACGATCCTAGGTCCGTGCCAGTTCAGGGTCGTCGAAACCCAACTCGGTGCCCCGGCAGGGCCGAGCCGGGTCGTGACCCGGCCCGGTTTTTTGCCATGTCTATCAGCGCAGGTCAATTTTGGGTTCTATGAGGAGACAATTTTCTACAAAGAAGCTTCTCAACAGCGAGTAGTGTTGCATTTTCCTTGGTCTCAATCACCTGAATATGTATGTAACTTTAGTTAAATAACAAAAATATTTGAATATGTACCATTAGTTAAACAACAAAAAAAAAAAAAAATACTTCACCACATGTAATCACAAATTTTTGTGTGAGCTAGCTTAAGGACAAGATTGTCGGCTTATTATATGTTTTTCTAATAAAAATACTTACTCGTCGCATTTTTTTATTTATATTATTTTTAAAAAGTATAACGTTTTGATTTAAAGTTATAGAATATGATTTTATAACCACTATATATAATGTCTAATCTAAGTCTTATTGCTTGTTGATATATCAAGTGTTGATTTGGAAAATAAAATAAATATTAGATATTGTAAGAGTACCAGATTAGGATAGTTTCATATATATGTTAGCATATCTTTTGTATATCTGTTTGTTACAATCTTTCCTTGTACATCGGCTTGTACTCGTTATATATACAAGATGGCTCGCTCACCAAAATCAATTGGTGATATTCAATCTACTCTAATATGGTATCAGCCTAAACACTTTCCTAGGGTTCACGTTTTCTTCTCCCTGCCGCTCTACCATCGATCGGACTGGTCCCCTCCCTTCGTGGTGATTTTCTCGACAGACCGGTCTCCTCTGTCGTCCTTACCTCTTCCGCAGGACTAGTCCCCTCTTGTGTTCAACATGGCCGCCTCTACTGATGCTCTTCCAGTCGCCACCATGATTAATATGGTGGCCGGCATCAAATTGACTTCAGCCAATTATCTTCCTTGGCGTCGTCAGATCACTCATATGGCCGAGTGTTTCGATTTAATGGGCCTTCTTGACGGCTCTGTTAAACCTCCCTCTCAATACTCTCCACTGCCCGACAATGCCACAAACCCTAATCCTGCCTTTCTCTCATGGCGTACCAAAGACCGTAAACTGCTCAGTGTTATTTACTCTTCCCTTTCTGAAGAAGCTGCATCTGAAGTAATTAACGTCGTTTCTTCTCGTGAATTATGGCTTACTCTTGAAGAGGTCTTCTCTTCGGCATCTCGACATCATCAACTTCGCGAGGAACTCCTCTCGCTCCGTCGTGGCGACATGACTGTTGATGATTATGGTCGGCGGTTTAAAGGCTTATGTGATCAGTTGTCTGCGATTGGTCGTCCGGTGGATGCGTCTGACCAAAGTCATTGGTTTCTTCGAGGATTAGGTATTCAGTTTGCACACTTTGCCGACACCCGTTTGGCTTTTTCTCCAATTCCGGTTTTTAGGGATTTGCTCAATCAAGCGAAGCAGTACGATATGTTAATTCGCTCAATGGAGGCGCCGCCTACCTCTGTCGCCTTCTACGCTGATCGATCGGTGTCCTCGAGTGATCCCTCCCGCCGTCGTTTCTCTCATGACGGTGGCAATTCTCAAGGGCATAGTGGCGGTCGCAGCAATCATCGTGGTCGGGGTGGTCGCCAACATGGTGGAGGTGGCGGTCGTCATTCAGGTAGTGGTCGCCGGCCCTATGTACCTCGCTGCCAGATCTGTCAAGGAGCGCACTATGCTAATAAGTGCCCTCAATTTCTTGAGTGTCGTCAATCTATGTCTCCGGCACATTTGGCGCAGGCATTCTCCTCCTCTTGCGCAGTCTCCAGCCCTCCGCCTGACTGGTGTCTCGATTCCGGTGCATCCACTCACATGACGAATCAGCCTGAAACTTTGGATTCGCTCAAGTCATATTCTGGTAACTCCTCTGTCATCGTTGGTAATGGATCTAATTTATCTATATCACACATTGGTTCCTGTCGTCTTCCTAACGGTATGCGGCTTAATGATGTTTTGGTGGTGCCGCATCTCACCAAAAATCTTGTGTCTATTAGTAAATTAACTTCAGATTTGCCGGTTGATGTTGTGTTTTCTGGAAACTTGTTTCTTATTCAGCATCGGGAGACAAAGGAACCCCTGGCTCGGGGTCGATGTGATGGAGGCTTATACTACATGGATCGGTGGTGTCCGGCATTAGCAGCCGCTGTTCGTAATAAGGTTTCAAAGGCAAGCTTCGAGCTGTGGCATTGTCGCTTGGGCCATGCTTCTTCTTCCATTATCTCATTGTTACAGAAAAGTGGGTCTCTTACTGTAACTACGGATTCATCTAGCACTCGTATTTGCTCTTCTTGTAACTTGGCTAAAAGTAAACGCCTTCCTTTTGATTTGAATGCTAAACGTGCATCTTTTGCGCTTGACCTTATTCATTGTGATTTATGGGGTCCTGCCCCCATTGCTACTTCTGCGGGATTTCGTTATTATGCCATATTTGTCGATGATTTTTCCCGGTTTTCGTGGATTTATCCTTTGCGTATGAAATCTGATTTTTTTGGTGTTCTGGTTCAATTTCACAAACTTGTATGCAATCAACTATCTCGGCAAATTAAGGTTTTCCATAGTGATGGCGGAACTGAGTTTACCAACACTCGTGTTCGGGAATTTATGCTTTCTCATGGCATCCATCACATGTTTTCTTGCCCTTACACTCCCCAACAGAATGGGCGTGCGGAGCGCAAGCATCGTCACGTTACTGAAACGGGGCTCTCGATGCTATTTCATGCCCATGCGCCTTCTGCTCTATGGTTTGATGCATTCGCCACTGCGGTTTTTATTATCAACCGGCTGCCCACTCCTATCTTGGGCAATGCTTCTCCGTATGCACTCTTATTTGGTGTTGTTCCCGACTATGCTTCCTTCAAACCTTTTGGATGTCGAGTCTTTCCCTTTCTCAGGGATTACTCAGTTCATAAGCTCGAGCCGCGGAGCCGTCCTTGCATCTTTGTGGGCTACAGTTGTGTTTACAAGGGCTTTAGGTGTCTTGACCCAGCTACATCTCGTATCTACACAACTCGGCATGCTCAATTCGACGAATTGTGCTTCCCATTCTCTCAAACCACTTCACCGAGTTCGGTCTCTCGCCTTGATTTCTCTTCTTTTCTCGATGACATGCCGGCCCCGCCTCTGTCTTTTGAGAACCACGCACCTCCCCTTCACGTTGCAGTGCGTCCAACCATCATTCCTGACGACGCACCTGATCCTTCGGTCGATCCGGTACAGCCAGCGCCTGCTCAGCCGGATGCTCTTATGACGCCACCTTCACCACAACTGGGTGCTCCTGCCCTAATCCCGGCTGCTCCTGTCCCAGCCGTCCATTCCACGGGTGCCTCTCACCCCATGATTTCGCGTGCTCGTCACGGAATATTCAAGCCTCGCCACCCCATTGACCTCACTGCATCGGTTCTGCTTTCCGCTCTTGTTGCTACCTCTGAACCGCGGGGATTCAAGTCCGGAGCTAAGGATCCTAAATGGCTTCGTGCTATGCAGGAAGAGATGGACGCACTTCACTCCAATGGAACTTGGGATCTGGTTCCTTCTCCGGCTGGTGCTAATATTGTCGGCTCCAAATGGGTTTTCCGTACTAAGTTCCGTGCAGATGGCACAATTGAACGCCACAAAGCTCGTCTTGTGGCACAAGGTTTTACGCAACTGCCTGGTACGGACTTTCATCACACTTTCCGTCCCGTTGTCAAGGCTGCTACAGTTCGGATTATTCTTGCTCTTGCCGTACACCATGGCTGGAGTCTTAGGCAACTAGATGTCAAAAACGCCTTTCTTAATGGCATTCTTGACAAGCCGGTTTTTATGGCTCAGCCTCCTGGCTTTGTGGATCCGCAATTCCCAAATCATGTTTGTCGGCTGAAGAGAGCTCTTTATGGCCTTCGACAGGCTCCCCTAGCTTGGTTTCGTCGTTTTAGTGACTATCTCTCCTCTCTTGGGTTCCTTCAAAGTAGATGTGATTCGTCCTTGTTTCACTTTCGACAAGGGTCGTCCTTCATATTCCTCCTATTGTATGTTGATGACATAATTATAACCGGCAACAACTCACACATGCTGCAAGATTTCATTGATTGTACCCACAAGGAGTTTGCGATTAAAGATCTTGGCGATTTAAGTTACTTTCTTGGGCTTGAGGTGACTCACTCTACTGATGGTCTCTTTCTTGGTCAAGCTAAATATGCGCATGATATCCTTAAACGGGCGGATATGTTGGAGGCTAAGCCTGTTTCGACCCCTTTGGCTGTGGGTGAGCAGCTGCTAAGTACGGGCACTCCCTTCTCGGATCCCACATTGTTTCGGTCTCTTGTAGGGGCGCTACAATACCTTACTATTACTCGCCCGGATTTATCCTTCGTTGTTAATACCGTCAGTCAGTTCCTCCATGCGCCTACGGTTGATCATTTTTCTGCGGTTAAACGGATTTTGAGGTATGTTAAGGGGTCATTGCATTTGGGTTTGAAATTTCAAAAACGCTCGATCACGTCCCTTTTGGGATATTCTGACGCTGATTGGGCCACATGTGTTGAGACTCGTCGCTCAACCTATGGCTATTGCATCTTCATTGGAGGGAATATTGTCTCTTGGAGCGCTAAAAAGCAACCGACGGTGTCTCGTTCCAGCTGCGAGTCCGAATATCGAGCAATGGCCAATGCTGCCGCTGAGCTTGTTTGGGTTTCTAATCTCCTGTCCGAACTTCGTATTCCTTTGCCCTCTTGCCCAGTTCTTCTTTGCGACAACAAGAGTGCTATTTTTCTTAGTCAAAACCCGGTGGCGCACAAGCGAGCTAAACATATCGATCTTGATTATCACTTCGTTCGAGAGCTTGTGGCGGCTGGTCGCCTTTCTACGTGTTTTGTACCGTCGTGTTTCCAGCTCGCGGACATCTTCACGAAGAGTTTGCCTCGTCCCACGTTCACCTTTCTTCGTTCCAAGCTTTACGTTGATCTTTCCCCTACGCAGCGCTTGAGGGGGGATGTAAGAGTACCAGATTAGGATAGTTTCATATATATGTTAGCATATCTTTTGTATATCTGTTTGTTACAATCTTTCCTTGTACATCGGCTTGTACTCGTTATATATACAAGATGGCTCGCTCACCAAAATCAATTGGTGATATTCAATCTACTCTAATAGATATAATAAAATAAAAACGTAACAAATAGTACAATCCATGATTTATTTTATTTTATTTTTTATTTTTGTTTCATTTGTTAATGAACCTGTTGACCACAGTGGCAAATCACAGTGACCCCCACGAAATAAATTAGGTCATACCACTAACACAGTGAATTTCACATGGATTCATGTCCCTACCTATATGTAAGTGGGTAATTATGATAGTAACCACTATTCTCATCTTTTTATTTATTTATTAATAAATTTATTTTTATGTATGATTTCATACTTTTTTATAAATATATAAATTATATATTCAAAAAATCTTACTATAAAATACAATATCAATAAAGTATGATGATAATTCAAAGGATAACATAATTTATACTTAAATATTGTATTTTGAAATAATTTTTTTTTTTTGGGTACAGGGACATTCCGGTTTCCGGATCCACAGGGGAACCGACTAATTCAGAATCGAGCCGGGTAGGACCACAAGGGCGGCAAAGCTCTCCCTCAAGAATTTTAACACTGGTGCATTCCCAGGGCTCGAACACGAGACCACTGGTTAAGCTGAAAGAGACCCAAGCCATCTCATCCAAGCGCTCTTGGGTTGTATTTTGAAATATTAATATAAATAAAAGTATGACTATTTGTAGAATACATATTCATTTTATTCTTTTCAAAAATATGTCTATCTAACTATTAAACAATATAACTTCAAAATTTATTGTTACGTGGCCGTCCCGTTTTCACCGATCGACATATTCGCAGCGAAAGCTTCTTTTATTGGCTCGTCTGACCGCAATGCTCGTCCTCACTTAGTCCCGGGCTTGCTGCTCGTCTACAGGGGCTCTGAGTCTGCTCTCTTTTGGTCCCGGGTTGATCCCAGCTTGCTACTTAACAGCCCCGTTTAGCTCCTTTTGTGCCCGATTCAATCGAAATCTGGTCGGATAATGACGACACGAAGTCTCCCGGCTCAGATTATCCTTGAACCCGACACCCTCGGTAAGTAGCGGCTCGGTGGTGACCAATGGACGGCAGCCTCGGTTCCTCGGCCCAATCCCCGGGCTGCTCCTCTTACACACGACCACGCACCCGGTCCTCCGTCGCAAAGCCTCTCCTTCACGAAGAAGCTCGCCGGAAAGCACCCCGCAAGGGCTTGAACCAGCAGAGAGAAACTAGGCGACGGCGACGACACGATGGTGGCACTCCGACGGTTCTCACGGCGTCACTCACTGCAGCTCTCACAAGGGAGGTCACAGAGAAAAGGAGAGAACAGATTAGTGAGAGAGATAGTGATCGGTTTTCTCACAGAGAGAGAGATTAGGCGCAACAGCGAGAGAGAGAGAGAGAGAGAAGTGAGATTAATGATCCCTAAATCCCTAAATCCAAGGGTTGAGATTAATCCTGCCATTAAGTGTTAAGAGGGTCAGGCCCAGTCGGAGTTGGGCCGGGGCTTCCTTAAACCTGACATAGGTATTTAGTTTTGGGCCAAATTCCCAATATTTATATTTATGTATTAATAAAATATAAATAAAAGACGGTCTATTATATTATTCAAACGAATCTTATCTCGTATTTTTTGATAAAATTAAAAAATATATACTTATATAGTAAAAAATATTATTTTATTATTTTTGAAGCGTACTATTTAATATGCATTGTTATCCCATATTAATTAATTAAATTAACTAAACAATGTATCAATGACACTCGTCAAACACTGGGTTAAAAACCAAAAATTATATAAAAAAAAAATCATTTTTTTTTTTTATCTCAATATATGTGTGTGTATTTTATTCGATATCCTAGTTTTTTGGTCTTTGCTAATTAATTGTTGCTTGTTCCCATTGTCGCTTTGTTTCCAACCCTTAAAAAATATTTAAAGTCAAATTTTTTGGTATGGGTCGGCTGGTGACGCTGACATTCATCTAATTAAAAACTTAGAGCAACTATTTCTCTCAAACACAAGATGTGCTTCAGTCCGACGCTAGATTTTGGCATTACTGCAAATAAATGAACAGTGTTGCGCCAGATTTTTTTTTTTTTTTGTATTTTTAATGTAATTTTAATGATAATTTTTTGTATAATGTGTATTAATTAAGGTATTTTATGTTAAATAACTTTGTGCAATGTATTTTCTATGATAAATAATTTTGTGTTTTTTATTTATTGATGATTATAATTTTATTTTTCAAATTTTTAATATTAAAATAGTACCATATGAACAAAAATTTAATACATTCAAACAAGTATAAAAGTTTACAATAAACGTAAATTATAAAATACACAAATAAAAACAAATTAATATTAAAATTAATTTATTTGAATTAATTGAATAAAAAAATAATATATTTAATAGAGTAAAATATAATAGAGTAAAATATAGAGATAAGGTTTGGAGACATATGTTTCACTCTACTCTACAGTAGAGTAAAATCTGCACTAGAGTAGAGATAATGGCTGGAGATGGTCTTAAAAAATCAATAAAGATTGGCTCTAACTTATAAATGTCCCTTAAGCAAGGTCTCATATTCGAATCGGTGTGAATACAGAACACTCTTGTTGGGAGACTCACCCACCAGTCCATCACTGCCAAGTGTGCGACCCGGGTTCGAGTACTTGTGAATACAAAAAAACCTTGTTGGGAGATTCACCCACCACTACCAGGTGTGCGACCCAGGTCAACCAACGGATCAATCGGGGCAGGGCCATCTCCAAAAATTTGGAGGCCCCAGACAAATTTTACCTTTTCGAATTTTCCGATTTAAACTTGCGTGGTAGGATTATTTGTAGATAGAATCATACAAGAAAAAAAAACTAATTAAACAAGACTATTAAATAAATAAATAATTGAAAAAAAAAATGATTTTGCTTATTTTTCTAGAAATTGAAAAAATTACATTTAATAAATTATACATTACATTCAAACAGTCATGAATACAATAATGAGGACAAACTAAAAATCATATTACATAAAGAAATATCTATTCTCACACAACATGTTATGACTTAACACCATAAGAAAACAAATGAAATATTTAAGGTCTCAAACTCCTAAACAAAATACATATTTTGCTATTAGTCCCTTCATTAATTAGCCCCTTCATTTATGTAATAAGCCGGATCATATTTAGCCATTAGCTCATTTATTTGTGTTAATAAACAAAACCAAACACAAATACATAACATTAAAAAAAATAAAAAAAAATGAGGCCCCTAATCATTGGAGGCCCTAGTCATGGGCCTATGGTGCCTCCCCCTAGAGCCAGACCCGGGGCAAGATACCGTGGCTGGCTACTAAAAAAAACTTAAAAATAAATAAATAATACATAAAATAATAATTAACATTTTTATATTCTCTATTTAAGTAAAATCACGTAAACATTCTGATGCTAATGCCGTAAAATCCAAGTCACATCCATGTAAGTCACCATTATTTTATTAAAAAAACTCCATCCAAAATCCACTAAAAAAAAAAAAATTATCCATAGACCAATTGCCAAATTCCACTTAGGCCTCGTTTACCAGAGAGGACATGGATTTGGGGGGACAAGATTAATTGTCCATCCAGTCAGCGGATTAAAAAACTCATCCTATGTTTACCACCAC